TAACAAGATAATTAGGTCTCTCTCTCTTCATGGTCTTGGCAATTCGGGGGGGGGGGGGGGAGTGTGTGTGTGGGAGAGAGAGAGAGAGAGAGGTGGGGGGGCTGTCAAATGGGTCAGATCGACCTGACTCAGCTCCGTGTCTGGGCTGGTTATACTAGACCTAGGTTCAGTTCTGACCTAAGCAAACTCTCATTGGGTCGGGTGAGATCCAAGTCCGACCCTATCCGATCCAACATTTTTACATGTAATATAAAATTCATTTGTAGATAATATACTATTTTTTTTGTTTTTTTTTATGTCTTGGTTCTTGAACCTGACCTGGCCATGACCTGCAGGTCGGGTCCATTCCAATTGATAGGGACTCCCCCCCCCCCCGGTTTATAGCTATAGAGAGAGAGAGAGAGAGAGAGAGAGAGAGACCCGTGAAGTTTTACTATTACATAAAAAAAATGATACTTTTATTTTTAGGAAGAATGAAACCCCTAGGTAAAATTTAAAGTAAAAAAAAAATTTCATGAAGAATGGCATTTCTTAATAACGGAAGACTGCATTCCGAGATGGAAACATGTATATAAAATAGACATGCTATTGGGCACTCTTCAGTTGTGTCCTATCTATTTCTAGAAGCTTCGACACATGTCTCTAAGCCACCCGTGTCATCACGTGGTTAGACCACCAAACACATGTCCATGTTTCATAGGCTAATCATTATGAGTTCATGACTACCAGCTCTATAGCTGCTTTGGTCAAGAGATCAAGCTTGGAAAAGGCCTTGTTCAAATATGCAACGCACATAGGAATGATTTGTTGTGTGCCTGGGAAATGAGGCCTGTGAGGTAATGGAACAAACTAGCTGATCACATAGATTACATAAGCAATTTCTGTGTAAGTCATGGGTTGTTTTTGCTACTAATATTGTTACTGAATCCTCTTTCCCTATTTGATCTAGAACCACTTGTAGCGGATTTGTTACATACCCCTTATACCTTGTGCACCAAACTCAATGGATCCTGGCCTCCTACCGCAATGCACCTTAGCTCTTCCACCTTGGGGATGCTGGTTATGTCTTCCAATCTACCGAGTGGTCCAGCAAGCCGCAAGAGATCTTATGTGCATGTCCAATGTGACAGGGAGTTGATGCTTCAGGTTGCACACTTGGATATCCTCTTCTGTCAGGAGTTCGGACTTTGTTCCTTTCACAAACCAAGTTTCAAAAATTGCTGCGTGTGCTCCAAAATTTGGGCCTCGTCTTCCACCTTCAAGTGAACAATATTTATTAATGGTCCTTTATCTTCCTGGTTTTAACTGTGCATACTTTCAAATTTTGCAGGAAGAAACTGACCTTGAAACCAAAGAAGAAAAACATACCATACACTAGGAGAAGTTGCGGCCACGTCCCCATGTAGGTGCTCGAAAAAACAACCAAATCAGCAAACCAGATTTTGTTGAGGGTCACCCCCTAGGACTCCGTACACCCCACGAAATCTCCACGGTTTGATGATATACCTTCTAGACTACAAGTTCCCTTCCTTCCACTTAGCTTTGGGTGACAAGGTTGCAGATAGCATGTTCTAGGTTGTAGACACTTCTTCCCTGCAAGGTATCTCACGCAAAGAACTACTGGAAGAATTCTCAATGTTTCGTAGAATGTTCAAAAAGCGTAGGAGGGTGCTTAGGCACTTTGGCGGCCAGGCGCGCGCCCAGTAACAGGGGAACCACCCTCAAAACAAAAAGGATTAAGGAATTCTTAGGGCAGGGTTTTAGGACTTAGGGAGTTTTTAGGGCAATTTTAGAGCCCCAAACCCTCATGAAAAAGAGAAAACATAATATTACAGTCATAAAACAAATTTACGGATACAAAGACTCAAAGAGATTGTAAGAAAGTAAAATGCTTGAAATCCCAAATGTCATAGTAGAAAACTAGAAGTCTAAATATAAAACACAAAGTCAGCAAGGCAAAAACAAAAAACAAAAAACAAATACATGTGACATGTCACCACCCCAATTCTCTAATGTTAAGCAAACAACTCTTATGTTATCACCATGCAGGGTATTCATGTGGATCCAAAGGAGCATCTAATGATGATGATGCCATGCCATCAACATCAGAGTCGTCGCTCTCAACATTTTGGCTGTCATCCCTCGTCTCATCTGAATCTGCTTCTTTCTCTTCATCCTCCCCTCTTGATGTCATCACCCTCTTCCTCTTCTTCGCCATTGCTTTCCCTTGCTGGGCCTTCTCCTTTGCCTTCATTTGGCTTTGAGATTGAGCTTGAGTGGTACACAGAGGGGGCATTGCTGTCTTAGCAGGCTCACGAACCTGGCCCTAGGTCAAGCCCTCTCCAGGGAATTCCTTATCATCATTGGCATCAACCAGCCTCTCTCATGTGTAATCAATATCAACAGCTTCAATAGCCTCCGTTTCATTGTGCTCCAGCTGTCAATGGCGCTCTTGCAACTTCTGATTATACCGAACAAAGACTAGGTCGTTCAGTTGCTTTTGCTTTAGTTGCTATTGCTCTAGTCGCTTTTGCTCTAGTTTGTTCCTCTTCTTTGTATGCACCTAATAAAAAAAACTCACTTAGTTACTAACTTATTATGTTACTATGTATACGTACTACTAACTAACTAAGTAAGTACACATGGAATTAACTATTAACTATAAAGAAGTAATATTACCATTTAAAAGGTGCTGAAGTTGTGCTCATATCTAGAGAAGCTGCAAGTCGGATTTAGTATTTTCATGGCCATTTGCCTTAAATGCGGGGTGCGTCGCCCATGGCCCATCCACCATGAACCTATTTCATGTAAATGTAAAATGTAGTAATTTAGTAAATTAGGTACTGGGTAATTGAAATTAAATACTCAAATCATAAAATCAAATTGAGAAAGTTCTAAACTTGCTAGGAGGAATCATGGACCTCTGTTAGACTGCCATCGCCATACCTAGAGACCTAGTAGCGAGCCTATAGAAATCTACCTTCATCATTACCTTGTTTTGTACTTCAAGATCAGGGTTGAGCTTTACATTACATTGGTTGAATGCATCCATGATCTCAGGCTTGCTATGTACCTCAGGATTTGTGTGAAAAGTGAGCAGGGTTAAGGTAGTATCCTGCTTAGTGTTGGGACCTCTCAAGCTGGCAGTTCCATTTTTCTTAACTAATTTTCAAAAAATATTCATACTTCTTTTCATCATGCCCCAAAAATCTCTTGATTTCTTCCTTTGCATTCTCCATGTCTTTATAGATATGCCCCATAATAGGTTTCTTTCAGCATCAATCATCTTGAGAACCTTTACTAAAGGGTGAAAGGCATACAAGGCATATTGGACACCTTGTTCCAAAATCTTAAGTCCATGATAATATGCATATCAACTTGTTCATCAGCTATTCTGGACCACTTGGACTTGGTCCAATCCTCAGATACAAACATGAA